GACAACAATTTAACATTGCAGCTTGCCCCTCTGCTGCACGGCATCCCAAGAGCACGAGCGGAGGAGCGCAGGGCGCGGGGGTCAACCGGCGGAGCGGCGCGTGTCCACTCCGCCCTCTCGGCGGCATGGCGGTCGACTCAGCTGTGTGGGCTCGCTCGCGTCTTACCACCTCGCTGTCGACTCTTTGCATATTTGCCCCCAGATTAACCTCTTTCCTCCCCGTTTTGAGGGTGGCCTGATATGGGCCTGTCATCCACACACTAAGTCTCATTCTCTGTGTTCCTTTTGCATAATCCCTTCTCTTTAAGAAGAAGAAGAAGAAGAAAAAATCCGTCTTTCGTTTTTCCTCACCCCCCCCCCCCCCGGTGCTGCTCAAGCTTTTGGATTAGGGATTGCGAAACGAAAGGCAGAAAATGTCTTGGGATAGAGGGAGGGGGGGGGAGGAAGAGAAAGAATCAGCGGAGGCTCATTGATGGGATTAACTGAATCCAAACGGCAAAACAATGATCGCTTAACAAAGTGCTGGCGCGGGTTTAGTATATGAAGCAAAGGATTGCGTGGAATTACTCACCATTTGTGGCGTTTAGCGCGTTTTAAATCAGCCTGTTTTGTTATAAGCTTCGAATGGCTTTGCCAAATCTTATAGTTGTCTTGCTTGGTATTTCCTCTGTTTTATTTGTACGTGGCCTTTTTTAAAACACATATTCCAAATCCGCTCTCCGTTTCCAAGCCACGAGGTGAAGGTTTCAAAATGTTGCAAAGCAGTGCACCTCCACACCTGTTAAGATACATGTCTGTGGAAGAGATCTTTCACGGGATTTATGAAGAAAAAAACCTTTTCAAGCGGCCTTTTTGTCCGGTACGCGGTAGGACTCACACTTTTACATACGCTTTGTCCCATGCTAAACCCGTACTTTCAAAATCTCTGGGTTGGAGTTGAGCCAAATTAAAAGTACTAAACTCGATGGAAGACGTTTTGCCGAGTTTTTTTTGTGCGTGCAGTCATTGGCGACCGGGTCGAGAACCAGGAACTTAGTATGCTTGAGAGCCATCAACTCGGTTCACATGAAAACCATCAACTGGCTGCCCGCATTGGAACCCAGGGAGCTCAGCGCTCTGACTCCTCAGCCACCTGGCCACACCTTTATTTGTGTTTTTACAAACATTCTTGTTTATATATTTTACATAAATTCTCATTTTATAATGAAAAAAAAAACAAACCTTGAATAAAATTTGTATTGCGATAAAAATGTTTTTTTACTGTTGAGTAAATGTGAATTAAAATTGAATTGCACACAAACGATTCAATAGTCAATGAAATATGTACCTAACTTGTGACGAAATACAAAAGCCAAACGTCATTCAATATCGTTTGGTTAAGCCTATCCTTGCATTTTAAATTTGCCAAGTTGGGCTGCGCTATAAATTGTTTACGAGTCAAGTAATGGCGATGTCTGCTGATGTAAATATATTTGACCTTGGCTCAATTGTCCCCTCTTAAAAAACCTGCCCATCACAGCTGGCAATCGCTCCCCCGTCAGCCTGTCCTTCCACCGCCTTCGCTGTTATTGGAAGCCTCAATGCAGAGCTTTGACCCACAGCGTCCTGATGGCCAGAGGTCAGAGTGACCTCACTGTTCTCTCAGCTGTTCAATTACCCCGCGCAGTATAATCGGTTGGATCGCATCAACGCGAACACCGGCCACTTTTTTTGTTGTTGGGGATTCACTGGTGTAATTTACTGGATAAATGTCACTCATCACTGTGGGAAATATGGAATTACATCCACGGCTTGGAAGGGTATTCTGCCTCCGCCTCGTTGGCTCGGTTTTTATTCAACAGGAATGGCATCTGCATCGTAAGATTGATTTGCAGTGCTGCTTTCAAGACGAGGTTTATTTTCTTACTAAGATAAATCATGGAGCTGAGCTGCTCACCGCGTACAAAATGTCGCATTGGCGTATGGGCTGTACCATGAGGATATGATCTATGTGGGCTCTACCATGAGGATATCCAGCAGCAAACCACATAGTCAGATCTACTATATTGCTATGGACTGTGGCTTTTTAGTTTTTACCATAGCCAGAGCAATACACACACACACACAAAACAAAATTCCTATAGCTATGCGAACTTCTGGGACAATTGCTGTTAGTGAGCACCTATTAAGGCTGGTACAGCACGTAAAGAGGCGATGTGGCAAGCACCACGCTTTTCCACCTTTGCCTGCCAATGTTTACAAACCGCACCACGAACAGTACAGTATTTTAAGGCTGAGTTGACCTATGTGTTGAGAGGGAGGAGAGTACACAATCATAGGTCCATGTACCACTCGCCAACAAATGGGATCTGTGACTCGAACCCAGGTTTGCTGGGTTCTTAGTGCAGCAGTGATCGGAGCACTGCGGCACTGCTCCCTACGCACACACGCACATATGCTGTTTTTTTTTTTGGCAAATCCGGCGTTGAGAATTGGAAGCTTTCTTCACGTGGTGTTGATAAACCAGGCCTCGGGCCCACCCCGTGGAGCCCCGAGCCGCGTGGTGCATTTTTAAACGACATCTTCCCTTTCCGCCCGGAGAGGTGGGGGGGGGGGCTCCTGGCGAAGTTTCTCCTGCGAGCCTTCAGTCCCGTTCCCGACGACAAGAGCGCCCTTCTCCGATACGTTCCCCGGGGTCTGCGACTCGCATTGGAAATGTGAAAAACGCAAAACGTGCGCCGCATGGAGTGCAACGTCGCCTATCGGACTCCCTGAGCGCTCGGTGGTTTTGGCGGATATGTTGAACCGTCGGATACGTGTGAACAACTCGAAAAAGGCATACTCTTTGGGTCTGTCGGTAAAGTCACGTAGGTAGAAAAATAAAACTAATATATCACGACGTTTATACCCACGTGACTTTACCGAAAGAAACAAAAAGGATGGATTCCTGCAGTCACGAAAGCTTCAAATCAAGATCGAAAAAGACAGTTACATCACGCAACTGGACAAAGACACAAAAAGCACAAACTACTTGAACAAGTATTAATGTATGTCGAACTTCTTTCACGCCGTGCATAGCCAACCGTGCTAACATGCTTTTTTTTTATTTTAGTAATAAACGAATTACACGAGTTAACAAATCCATTAGTCAGCGTGAAAAGGTCATATTGGTGAACTGCTGTAGAACATGAGAACTACACCGTACACAGAGATACTGCACGTGGTTCATTGGTCAGGGCGGTTATGTGACTTACTAAATTGCATTATTGCTTTTTCATATTTTCAATCTTGTACAAATCAAGGTATTTTCTAATCTCTATGCCAGTTTACTACGTTTGTGTTCGCCCTTAGTCATACGTGAAGCGATGATGGCGCAGTGGTTGATGCCCTGCACTGTGAACCTGGCCGCCTGAGTTCGATTCCCGGCGGTGGTGACAAATACATTCCACCGCAGTTTTTTATTCATGCGGCGTCGAAATGCAACCATATTTCAAGACTCAGAAACGACAGACAATTATTTAATAGAGATAAAGGCAGTCGCTCATAGGCAGCGTAAAAAATGAAGCTCTTGAGCCTGGACTGGAACAGTCGTGAGAAATGATAGTAGGACCGTTTCAGAGGGCCTCGCTTTTACCATCCAGCAGCGATCAGTGTGGCGAAGTGTGGTCAAACAACCCTCGCGACTAGTATGGTGTAGAGAGCGGCCTTCATCTGGCAGTTTATTTACAAAGGCTTGTCACGTGTGAGCTGTATTGCTTTTGTGACCCGGGTTTTCCTTGAAACATTATTATTCTACGTTATTATTCTAGGTTTTGTGTATATGTGCTTGTCCCCATGAGCTCTCGCCTGGCTGTAAATAAAGATCACCTACCTACCAACCTCACACATGAGCCAAACGTATGTGTCGTTATGCACACAAAGCGGTAGTAGTGGTAGTAGATGCGTTCCCAAAAAGGGGCACACAAAGCGAAACACCACGAGGAGACGGCTGCCTGCCGAGTAGCGCACACAGCACACTACACACAGTACACACACAGTGCACACAGTGCACACGATACACACACAGGACACACACACACTATACACACACAGTAAACACACAGTACACACAGTACACACACAGTACACACAGCACACACACTACACACACACACAGTACATACACAGCGCACACACACGGTATACACACAGGACACACGCACAGTACACACACAGGACACACGCACAGTACACACACACGGTACACACACAGGACACACGCACAGTACACACACGGTACACACACATGACACAAGTGAATTCAAACAGCATAATGTAGCGAATTTTGCATACTTTAGCTGCATTATATCCGAAATCGGACAAACCGCACCCGCATAAAACAAGGGAAACCTGTACGTGCATGGGAAATACCATTTTTCAAACGTGTAATGCCTGTAGACTATAAGATGGCCAATGTAGACGGTGGCTGTATTTGTAATATTAAGAGGGCATCATGAATGGCCCTCCGCCACGTGGTGTTACGTAAAATGGTTTCGGCCGAGCGCAGGTCTCGTTCTTTTCTATTCCTTGTGTCGGCCTTCACCATTGTGCATGGACTTGAACGCGTACATCGGGCAAAACAGGATACGCTCTTGGTATTTTCCCAAATTTATTCCAACTGTGCTATTGGCATCATGTCATGAGACAATGCAAAAAATATTCATACATCCTCCAGAGCAGTCGGTGCCATCGCGTGTGAGAGAATGTGCAGACGATATTTTGTTGTATGTTGAACTTCTTTCGCACCGTACACAGCCAATCGTTCTGAAAAGTTTAAGCAACCTTTACACAGGAGGAGCTACACTTTCCCAACAATATTTAACATTTTCAGTGCTGGAATTTTGCCAAATAAAAAAATAACGTGATGATTTTTTTGTGCCTGTGTAGTCAATGGATAACTGGGCTAACACCAATTACACTTGGCAAAGGTTGGCTGTCCGGAAGGAAACCTATAATATCAGCGGTGCCAGCTCATTGCTCCGATGTCCGAGCGACCAGGGCCCACTTCGGTGATGCCCATGCTCAACGTCTTCTGGATCGGAGACGGTGCCAGATTGAAACCCTTAGGAGGTTCTCCAAAAGTCCGATAGCTTGTCACTGAAAGTTAAAGACGGTTTTGCGACGCCTTCGGGAAATCACCACCAACCCGAAATGTATATCTCTGGAGAACTTTCCAGCATGACAGTGATGTAACCAAAATAAACCACCACACCAAAACAGGGCGCTATGTTGTCATCGTGTGCAACCTGGTTGATCGATTGAGTCAGACTCGCAAAGCTAGTGGGGGAGATGTGTCCCCTGGCCACGTGTGCCTAATGATTCCCCGCAGCCTGACTTGCCGTCTGTGCGTGCGCGAGAGGGGATAGAGAGGTGGCGCTTTGGGACCAGTGGTCTTGGGACAACGTGCTGGGTGGTTGAGGGTAGTAGGCATGTGTTGCAGGCAAAAGGCGGCGATTGTTGGAGGGAGGGGCGCGAGACTGCGAGTGGTGTACAAGGCGTGGGGGAGAGAGTGGAGATTGTGCGGAGGGGCGTGGGGAGGCTGGGTTTGTCCGTGGCTTGGATTGTGGGTCACAAGTCACGAGTCGCTGCTCCTCGAGATTGATGGCATAATTAGCTCTGAGCCAGCAGAAACGTAACTGCGAGGGATAGGAGGCCAAGATTTCCCACCCACCAGCCTAAGAACAGAAATGCCGTGGCTATGAATTGGTCGCTTTGTCACCTCTTGATCCTCCCCTGCATCGCACCTCATCTCTGGCCCCGTGAACTGTGCCCTAACTGTTGTTGGGTGTTTTGTGTGGAGAAAAGGAGGCAAGTGGCGGGTGTGGGGTGGGGGTTGAGACCGGGAGAGAGGGCTTTGGCCACCGGTTAATTGATGGTGTGGCGCACCAATGAAATTAGGCGGTCCTGTCCACTTCCCGGGGGTGGGGGGGGGGTAGAGGGGGAGGCTCCCTCAGTTTCTGTAAATCACGAGAAAACGGCCGTAATGTCTCGTGGGCAGCATTCAGCTGCGATGGGGTTCACGAGGGTGATGAGGCCAGAGTCAATTTTGGATGAAGCTTCAAAACGATCTTTGGTGTTCAGGGCTAAACACAAAAAAGAAGCCCTGGGGGTTGACTTTGTATTCATGACCCCGTTTGAAATCGAAGCACATTGTAACTCAACGCGTGTTGCAGCCCTTGATAACGTTTCTCCCTGTACGTTATCTGAATCGATTGAACGTATTCCTCCTCCTGCGATATAGTTTGTAAAATTGAAACTGAAAATGACCCGGGAGAAAATGCTTTAGAAGACAAAAACCCTCCCGACAACTCACAGTGCTATCTGTTGATCCCTTTGGTTTTCGTGCAACGTGCATACATTACGACGGCCTGTCTGGCGAGATCGGGAACAGTTGTTGTGATTGTGGATATAAGCAGAGGCACATGGGGAGTTCGCGAATGTCACCCTTTCAAGCTGCCCTGCAGTCCATTGCTGAGTAGACATATTCTAATTGGGTTATAGTCGCTGCATGTTTTGCATTTAAATTTGTTTTATCTCCACAACATTGAAGGAATAAAAAAAAATGTTTTTTGCATTACATTTTTCCAGTGCTTATAGTTTAGGTTATATATTTTACCAAGCCTTTCAATAAAAGTCCCTTTGTCTGCTAATGACATGGTTTTCGATGGTGAAATTCTAGCTGTGCAGTAAAGTCAGCAGTTCACAAACATTTATTGGGATGGAGAAATGTGGCAGTGGTTATTGGTTCGAGCACTGCACTATGAACCTGGTGACCTGAGTTCAATTCCCGGCCACAGCTAAAGTCAGCGGTGAGAGATATATGAACTAAATCCTGGGCACTCCTACACCAACCCACACTGATCAGTGTGGTGAAGTATGGTCAAACAACTCCAAGCGTGGAACAACGCAAATGGCCAAGAAACTATTCTATTATTTTATAATTTTCTGTTGACATTTGATTTCTTATCACTATTTTTTACCGTATAATAATTTGTATGTTTTGTGCTAGTATGTTTATTGTGCTGGGATGTTTATGACAGGTATTGTGGGTGAGTAAACGGCTTTTCCCAATTCTTTGCAATGAAATTACAAATGTGGAGATGCGCGCACGCGCGTGTGTGTATGTACGTGTCTTTGTGTGCAGTATTCTTGGCAGACGGGAGCATAGGTGGTGCAATTTGCCAGTCGTATCAGTTAACCCATGACACCTGAGTGACCTCTTGCCCGAGAACCTTCGACGCTTCACGGGGCCTAAAAGTGCACCTAGCCTGGCACAAGGAAAGTGGTGACGTCACTGTCATTTAGTGGTGAACGGTGGCTGTTGTCGTTGCAATCTTTGAGCCTTTCGTTGAAGCAAGCAGGTTCTGGATGCTTGAATCATGAACTTAGTACAAAAAACAGTGGTGTGTGAATCCTGATTTGGAGAGGCAGTGATGTGTGCCCTCTCTGTATGTATCGTCCACATTAGGAGGCTACAGTTAAATCCAGGTGAAAACAGGAGGTTTACCTTAAATATAATTTTACCCCAATTTTCAGTGGTAATAAATGTTGCCCAGAATGTTTAAACTGCCATGAAATTGAATTTAGCCCAACCGTGCAGATCTCTGCTTGCCTGCAGGCCTGGTGTGCGTGTGTGCACACGTGTATGAGTGTGTCTGTGTGCGTACGTGTGCGAGTGTGTGTGTATGTGATTGTGCTCACTCACAATATTTGCCCTAACAGCCTATTGTGGTCCACAGAGGGAGATCTTTGTCCGTGTGTGTGCGCGTGTGGTATTAGTGGGCAATGCTCTGCGCTATGAACCTGGCGACCGAGATTCAATTTCTAGCCGATGATAACATCAGTAGCAATTGGTATCTGAACCTGCCCTGGACCTCCCCTAAGCTGATTCGGCCATAAATGAGTAGTACCTTGTGCTGCATGTTCAGCATCAACGCTGGGGAGGCAAAGACCCTCGGGCGTGGTTCTGGCCACACCAACTCCTTTGTTGCGCGATGCTGGCGTCAAATAAAAGCTCGCGCACAATACTTGCCTCCAGCAGCCCGCATGGCTGCACGGCGGAACGGTGTGTACCCGTCTCTGCTGTGTAAGCGTCTACGAAAAGCACACACACACACACTGGTGGAGGGACAAAATTGGGCAACGGCTTAGCACTTGACCGCACAAGGCGCCAAACAAGGAGGGGCACTGCTCCAGCCCAGCGCCAATTGATGCAATTTTCAAGTGAATGGGGAATGCAGCAGCCCCTTAAGTCTGTGCCTGGGGGCGCCAGCCGACCCAGCGGCGGCCCCAGACAATGAAGCGGCAGGGTCAGCGCCAGAGCAGGCTCCTCGCTCCGTCTAGCGAGGCCTGACCTCGCCGCCGCGTCCTAAAACGCATTCCCCTCCCACGGAGGTGGCGTGACCCGCGGTCGCCTTCACGGCGAATGGATTTCGTCCGGCAAGGGTGAACTTGATCGCGATGGGCGACAGCGCGCGCCGACGTGCCCGATTCAAGAGCGCGTTTCGGTCGGGTCGCGCGATGTGGCGACGTACGGATCCGGGAGACGCGGATGCCGACACATTCAAAGGACAACAACAACAACAACAAAAACACAAAAACAAGGCGCGCAAAGGAGAACGGAGAGGTTAGAGCACGCTCATGAATTTTACGTGAAAGGCAGAGAAAGAGAGGAACGCGCGGATCGGGGATCGCAAATTCGGAGACATGGTCACGTTGACTGAGAAGTAAAGACGTGAGTAGCGGGGCAGTGAGCTCCACCACCTTCCCTTTCTCCTGCCCCGAGGGCATCTCGACCCGGGATTTTCGTCCACGGAATATCTGTACCCCCCCCCTCCTTCTTCTCTCCATCGATTGTGCTTTGCACCGGGCTCTTGATTAATAAAATGATAGTAATTCAACAATAAAGTAAAATAGGTATTGGGCAGAACGCGTCACTGGAACGGACGATGTCCGTTGGTGGTCGTGACTAACGATGGTGCGGCGTGCATGGAGAGAACACGCCAGGGAGGACGACCATCGCGGAGATGGAGCGCTGAGATCAATTCCCGTTGCTTGAGGGAATCGGATTGGGGTGTTGCAAGGTCGTGCAGGATGGCGATGGTGTGGGCAGGGCCCTTAATCCGACGGTTGTATAGATCATGGCCGTCGATTGCTCTCACGGGACAACGGAGGTTGTCCCGATGAGGTTTGTGCTTGGGTCATATTGGTTAATTTCACACGCTTTATGAAGCCCGTCACTGCGAGATAAATATCGTATACGTGAATCGACATTATTAATCGTCGGTTAGTGAATTAAGCAGGGATCGTGCATCAAACACTAGAATTAGCCGAACCAGCAATGATAGTCTGTGACCCTTAACTTACTTGGCTACGCGCTATTGTGTAATTGGCCTAACATTTGAAATTCGCCAAAGTCTGCCACTGTTGTTAATGCCTCATTTGCGCTAGGCAAGTGTTCCAGTTACCTTCCTTCCAGTCCTAATCACGGCGCGTCTTGTTGCCAGCACGGCTAATTTAATAACCACATCCAGCCACTTTAACATGAATGAGTCTATCAAATCGCCGCCCTTTGTAGTCCCGATTCATTAAGTCAAACAAATAAATTAGCTCGGTTAGGGAAAATCACTTTCAACAATTCTTGGCATGTGTTTCCAATTGGCAGTTAATATGGTTTAACAAAAAAAATTCCAACAAGCATAGAGCTGTTGAAGCATGACTGACATTTTACTTGGCGGAAAAATTACAATTGTGGTGGTGCGTTACTCTGCGGGTGCCTAGCTGTAAGTGTACTTTGTCAATCCACTGATGAAAATAGGCCTCCCCGTGTAATGTTGTTCATGTGGGTTGTTTTGGCATACTTCACCACGCTGGTCAGTGCTGGCTGAGGGCGGTTGGCCTGCCTGAATGGTTTCAATTCAACATTTGCCACCAGGAATCGAACGCAGGTGGCCAGCCTCGTAGCGCAGTGTGTTAACCATTGCTCCACCACTCTTTCCCTTACGTGTCCATGAGCCGCATATAACCTGCCCTCCTTATGTGCACGTGGAACAAAGACACTTCTGATATATTCGTATTGTATCGACTGCCTTATCCAGTTGGCTTTCAAACGCTCGAAAATCGAGTGTGGTTTTTGGAAATATGAATCGGATTATTCTTTTCAAATGTCATCAGTTTGTTATCCCTTTATCTGAGACTTACTTGGAGGATTTACAAAAGACCCATTGCATCTCCCGCCCGTAAATGATTTCCTTGTGCGGCCTCTGCCGCAAAATGCCCGACGACACCAAAGCGCCTTTCCTCGTTAGTGTCAGCGGAAAGGTTACGGAGCAGAAGGCCCATGGGCCTAGACGGTGGAGTGAGGTCGGGGAGCTCTCTCCGCTAATTTTGAGAGGCCTTTTGACGTTGCCGGCCTTCAAACGTGTGCCGCTGACCGCGGTCTTTCGCCAGGGGCTCATGGGAAAGGTGCTGGGTCACAGGTCAAGTGAGCTTTGAACTTCAGAAGCGAAAAGGGAGGAGAGGGGAATAAAAAAAAAACATGAAACGAGCAGTGGAGGAGATCAACAGTGGGTGAATCGTAAATGATATAGCCATGTTTTTGGAGACAAACATCTCTTGAAGGAAGGATGACAGCAGCTGTGGTTGTTTGCACAGTCCCAACCTCACTTGCAATAATTTTAGGGTCAGGCCTCGAGATCAGAAGCAGTGGCACCCTAAATATAAAATCTGCAGCAAAAAGATGAAAGAAGAAAAACAAAAACAGATTTGCCAAAGAAGAAAAAACCCCAAACGACTTGGACAAACGTAAT